ATTCCCCAGCTGGGACACTGACTTTTGAACGTAGCAGCATGTGTGGTGCGTAATTCTTCAATTTTTTGGAGTTCCCTTTCCTAAGAAATGTTTTGGAATAAAATGAAGGTCTGGAACCTGAAAAAGGTGGAGTTTGAAGTTTTCCAATACTCACGTACTATACAAGTACTTTTAACGTGTTTCTAGACACAAAAGATTCATATCTTCTGTTTATCTTTTTCGATTTGATAAGGATCCAATACATATTTTATGGTCAAATCTTCTTAAAGCACACTGTTAAGATCCCAAACAACGTTTGCCTATCCACAGGTGCACCAGCAAGGACAGTGGGATGGCGTGATCCTGGGTATATACACACTAGCTTTTTGAAGGAGTTGTGGCCCAACACAGTGTACGTTGTGCTACCATATTGGCCTGATTCCTGGTCTTGATTTCTCTGAAAATTTATAATTTTCCCTCAAGTTTATTAGAAGAATAATAGATGTTGTATATTTAGTGTTCTTAATTCATCTTATTCGGTATTTTCAGAATTCCATACAAGTTATTAATGTTTTCTCTGAGAACTTGCAGATTCAAATTATTATTTACCTCACATTCAATTTGAAGTAGGAAAAAAAAGGCAAATAAACCAGTGTAAGCTCACATAAGGATTTATATTGATGGAAAGTATTCTTTCATTCTCCCACAATACCTATGATCAACAACGTTATAGTAATCAATATATCAGTTTGTTGAAAACATTAGTTTTGAAATCTAATTTATTAGAAGGAATCCTAGGCTGTCATGCCTTTAGCATTACATGCGATTCAACCTATAACATGCTTCTTGTTTGATTATTCAGGTATGCATACAAGCTGGGACACAGATTGTTCAATTGCACATATATTTGGAGTAAAGAATACCAGTTTAAAGCACCCCCTTATCCTGGTCAAGATTCTGTACAACGTGTAGTCATTTTTGGTGACATGGGAAAGGTCTGAAGCCCCTTGATAGCATTGAATCAATTTTCATGTCCTGAGTCTAATCATTGTCTTTTATCTCACTATCCCGATATTTATTATGTTGTTGTACTTTTATTAGTAATTTTATGCTCTAACAAATTTTCTATCCTTTAGACATAAAGCTGATGAACTGTTGTCCCTTTATCAAATTAAATGAAGTTTCTAATGGGTTCTTTATTAAAATCTAAACTTGCAGGGTGAAGTAGATGGTTCCAGTGAATATAATGATTTTCAACCTGGCTCTCTAAACACTACCAAGCAACTCATTCAAGACCTAAAGAACATTGATATTGTCTTCCACATTGGGGATATATGTTATGCAAATGGATATTTGTCACAATGGGACCAATTTACTGCACAAATTGAGCCAATTGCATCATCTGTCCCTTACATGATTGCTAGGTCTGCTATAAGTTAACTTGAAATTGCTGAATCACGAATTCAAGTTACATGAATGACCATTGCTAATTTTTCTTTACAGCGGGAACCATGAGCGTGACTGGCCAGGGACTGGATCCTTCTATGGGAACATGGATTCTGGAGGAGAATGTGGTGTGTTGGCTCAGACTATGTTCTATGCACCAACAGAGAACAGGGAAAAGTTCTGGTAAGGAGATTTTGCAATCTGTTAACATTATCATTTTGAAACATTAGTATCTTGTTATAGTTTGCCAAATTATCTGCCTTTAGTGTTCATACCTTTAGCTTTATGCATATTAACAGCATTCTGTTTTTTTTTTTTTCCGGTAAACATGCCATACTGTACTATTTCTAATCCATTGTTCTGGTCGCATGATCTTTTGGTATGTGAATAATTTTCTATTTAGCAATCCATGGATCAACTCTCACTATAGATACAATTCTGTATAAATTTGAAAAAAACGAGAGAGAAACTCATTTTTCTTCTGCACTGTGCAACCTTATTATCCAGATCTTGAGGATGCTCCAAAACCAAAACTTCTAACACTGCTAGACCAGCTCTTCTCGACACAGAGAAGTATGCTGATCTGATAGAGGCATAGAGCCAGAGGAATTTGGAAGTATGTTTCTAGTTATTCCTGCGTATGTTGTGATCTGATATTGAATAGTTGTTATTTTCTTAAATAGGTATTCCACTGGCTATGGCATGTTCCGGTTCTGCATAGCAGACACAGAACATGATTGGAGGGAGGGAACAGAGCAGTACAAGTTTATAGAGCATTGCCTTGCATCAGTTGATAGACACAAGCAACCATGGCTGATTTTCCTTGCACATCGAGTACTAGGGTATTCTTCTGATTTCTCTTATGCTATTGAAGGATCATTTGAAGAACCGATGGGAAGGGAAAGCCTTCAAAAACTGTGGCAGAAATACAAGGTTGACATTGCAATGTTTGGTCATGTGCACAACTATGAAAGGACATGCCCCATATATCAGGTATTACGGAACTTTATGCAGCTTCAGCTGTAAAATCTCTTGTTACTTTGCGCATTTGAACTGATTTTGGGAATTTAGCTAAAATTATTCAGAAAATTTTCCAATTGATGATTTCAATAATGTTACATTTAGATACGCCAAACTGTTAGAAACACACCTATTCTATATGCTGCTGCCCTTATTCTGAAAGCACAAGTCATATAAAGTCAAGCAAATACCCTATTGAACTGCATCTGGTAATAGGCAAATACCATTTGAGTTTTTGCAACCGTAACTTTTTCCAAAACCCAAATGCCCTCTTCAATACGCTGCATGCATGTTCATAAACTTGGATTGATTCAAACCAGCAACCAAGATCTTGGCTCTGCATTCTTTTGCTAACAATGAAATAGCCAAATCTTCTTGCTACAGAATATATGCACCAGTAAAGAGAAGCACTCCTATAAAGGCAACCTGAATGGGACGATACAGGTGGCTGCTGGTGGTGCAGGAGCGAGCCTTTCACCATTCACCACCCTCCAAACAGCCTGGAGTTTGTATAAAGACTATGATCATGGCTTCGTAAAACTCACAGCTTTTGACCATTCCAATCTGTTGTTCGAGTACAAGAAGAGCAGGGATGGAAAGGTTTATGACTCTTTCACTATATCCCGCGATTATAGGGACATCTTGGCCTGCACTGTGGGTAGCTGTCCAAGTACGACACTAGCATCGTGATGTGTATGACAGCAGAAATTTCGGTGCATGGTATATGCCGTATTGAATTATGGGGTCATGTTATAAAATTTGATCCAACCAATCCAAGGTGTAAATGGTTTTAGATCCCATTTCTTTATTTCCTTTTTCTTTGGCTAAAGCTCAAAGCATACGCAATGGCGAACTGAGATTGGCAAAATGGAAAAGGCAAAGCAAAACTCTGCTCTAGAGGTCAAAATCAATTATAGGTTTTAGGGTTTCTTTCATGCTGCATAAACTTGATTTTATGGCAGGAAACTGTCTGTCTCGCCGTGAAATTATCCTCTTAAGACCTAACCTTGAGAACTCTAATACATTCCCCCAGCAAAGGAAAGAAAAAAAGAGATACAGAAAAAAGGCCCTGAAACTTGTATCATTTAATTTATATATGGGAGTATAGATTGTCCATAACGATTTCCCCAATGAGCATTATTCCAGTCAATATTTCTTTATGGTTAACAGTATCTTGTCATTGTTTTTGGCTCAAATACTGTCTGGCGATCCTAATTAGGCTAAGTTGCCCGTTGCATTTGTTGGTAATAGATGAAATGATAAAATGACCTGCTGTTTCAGTTCATAATATGACCTGCCCGTAACATTTTCTGCAATGGGGCATCGAACATTCGAGGCCACATTCTTTTTGTGGGTTGGTAGATGGATAGCAAGAGATGTCAATCAACAATTTATGTGTGTATTGTTTTTTTTTCTAGGGTAATTAAAGTTTATAAGTGACTTGGAATTCCAGAAGTTGAACCATATGACACCAACGAGTGCTTTTCAAAGTTCTGTCAAGGGGCAAAATTTTGTTATGCATTCTATTCCACAGCTGAAGCTGCAATATTGAATAGTAACTTCTTCTTTTTTGTCAAAATCTTTTACCTGTTTTTCCTTTTGTGTTGATGCCTTGGTCTTGTATTTTCCAAACATGTCTGTTCAGATTCTTCTTCCATTGGGTTCTGTTCCCTTGAAAACTCTGCCTGCTTTTTATTCTGTGGTTTTTCTTTTAGATCCTAATTTGAATGTCGTTATTGGAGTCTATTGTTGATTGGTTTTTTGTTAAGAGAAAGGCTGGTTATGGATTTATGGGTAGTCAAAGCTAATTACTTAAAGAATTCTTCAACAAGGTTAAGAGAAAACGCATTGGAAGCATTTTCTTTAGACTATTTTCACAGCCAATCCCAGTCTTGGAATTTAACGCAACGAATACGAGAGCAAACTTGCCCCTTACGCAGATTAGGTGTCTGCAAGCATTCAGCTACAGATGAACCTAATTTATAGAAGTTCCAAGAAGTAGTGCTGCTAAAGGTGAAATACATTTACAGGGCCGTCAGCCTTATGGAAGGGGTTACTTTCTTGATTTATCTAGTTAATTGTTGTCTGATTCTGTCATGGGAGAAGTGAATTCGTTTCGAAGAATAACAGTGGACGGGCAACATGAGAATAGGTCTAGAGGGTATATCAATAAATCCCTTGATTCTTCAGATAGTATCCTCACTCTTGCATTTGAAGAGAAGAATATGAATATGCTTCACTACCGTCTTCATCTACAGAAATGGCATGGCCATTGACAATTGGACGCTGGATTATCGAAGGTAGCCATTATTTTGGACAAGTGGCAGTTACAGAAATGACATGCACTCTACTCAATTTTCTGGATCCAATTCAGGAGGAGATTAATTTAGTCACAGAAATTCCAATGCCACTCATAGCTTATTGCCCTGTAAATTCACTCAGAAAATGTCCTCGCGGTAATGGGAGGGAGTTGCTTGGTTTTCTATTAAAGGAGAGCTTATGCTGTTACAGTAGAAAAGGCCTACACTATCATTACTGTTCAAAGAGTCGCTGAATGTAGAAACAGAATTTTATTCATAGTTTATCGTCATGTGACAGCCTGCATTTGACGCAGGTATAGCAAGGTTTACCTGAAGGTAAAGCCTGTGCTGTAACAAGCACGGGCCTTGATACATTATCAAATTACAGAATAAGCATAAATGATCTTCAGATCAAACGACATAACAAAGCCACTTACAGACGGCACACTGCTTTTCCATGGCCAGATGCTTGCCTTTATAGGGCAAGTGAAGCCAAACTGCCAGAAGACTGGATCCTTGTATCACATTTATAAGAACCTCCAAAACTATGGACTTGAGCATGAACTTGCACATGCCTTGATAGATTTGATAGATAACCTCGTGCGATGCATGTAAACATATAGAGCAAGGCCCTGCAATCTTGGAAGAGCATCAATTGACCCCAGAGAGAGAGGAAAATCAAATTGAATAATGGGTTTCTACAAAACAAATCAAGTGTTTGTCTTCATTGGAGCAGCTTACTCTACAATGAAGTTTACGATGGAAAGACTTTCTTGTATCTAAAATAAAACAAGAAAGAGAAATACAAGAACACACAAGCAAGACCAGTTATAATCAGAACCCAATTAAATGCAGATGGTAAATCAAAAATTGAGGCTACAAAGTTCATCCCAAATATTCCTGTCACAACAGCAAATATTGTAGCCACAAAGGTAGCTGCAGTAAGAAGCAACTCAAATTGAATCAATTGGTTCTGAACATTTCCCTGTAAATATGAGAGAGAAGTTATATCTCGTGTGTGTTTTTTTTTTTTTTCAATAAAAAAATAGGAAAAAAAAAAGCATCATAAAAGTTAAAATTCATATTAAACCTTACCAGTTTGATATTGATCAAATCTTCAGTATCATCTATGTATTCTTTGAGCTGCAATATTTATAGATCAATTAATATAATCACGTAGTAAATATTCTTGCACATCACCATGTGAAAACCTATTTAGAAATATTAGGTATCCTTTTCATGTAAAGGCACCATAATCTGTTTTAGAACCTATAAAAAATTCTAAACAGCCTAGGCTGGTTTTCTGTTTCGGCTTGCCACCAAAAGGGGCAATCTGCATAAATTGGTGGGTTGTCAAAATCACAATATTGGTTGGTTTTAGTCATGCATGCCTTATACCTCGTCAATGTCAATTGTGGGATACCAATTAGCAAGCACTATCCAATCACAGCAACTCATATACATATATCTAGATTGAGTTCAAAAACATGCACGCAGGAACACACCGTGAACAACTTGCTTTGAGTGTTGTCAATAGCAACAAAGTAGGCTTCAAGTAACATTTCAAGTTCATCAATATTCTCGCCGTTACTGGATGAACTCATCAAGCTTCCATGTTTGCTTGGACTTGTATTGCTAAATGCTCTCTGCAATTTCTGGGCTCCAATAATTGACCTCACTGGTGAACCAGGTGCAGATTTTGAAACCACTCTGGTCTCAGCTGGGAAATCATTTTGAAAATATATATCACCTAAAGCATAAGCTTCCAACCTTTGTTTTTTCTTTGTAAGATGCATCTCGGCCATGTCACCATCATCATCCATGAGATGTTCTATCTCATCATGGACCTACAATTTCAATCTAAAAGCTAACGTATGGAGGAAGAAAGCGCCAGCAAACAATAGAACACTAAGAGAAAGGGGGGTAAAAAGATTACTTTTACCTTCTGAACTCGCTGAGTCAATGCAAGGAGGTGGCCCTTGAGTCTACGGACACGTTCCAGATTAAGAGTATTAATAGATGTTGCTAGTTCATCCAATGCTGGATATACCTCCAATTCCAATTCTTTTACCTATCAAACCCAAAAGTCCAAATGAGGGAGTTACCCTTAATTTTTCAATCTGCCAGTTGTTCTATTGCTTTAATTGTGTGTGCAAAGGCCTGTTATCTACCACTGGTCTGCCTAGGCAAAGTCCAGGGAGCGAGGTTTTCTGAAAAATGATCTTGAACATTAAAACATTTACATAAAGGGACCAATCTCCAGACTCAACCATGTGCATTTGCAGCCCAAGCGTTTTAATTCCATATTACACATAAAACACTATTCTTAAATGGCTGCCCAATCTTAACCCACATGGTTTCTGGAACCACATTTGGTCAAATACACCATTCAATAACAAGTGACAAGTGACAACCACATATGCAAATAACAAGTTCAGAGCATTGAGAGACAGTTTACGTATTCAACTCTCCTAAATCTTTTTCCTTTCTTTCATAGGGATATGCCTTTATTCTTGAAAAGATATAACAGAGAGGAATTCAATTAGACCCCTTGAGACATTGTGAATCAAAACCTTCTCAGTATCCATTGATCATGCAAGGAAATGTAATTGTATGCATCAAATAGCTACCATGGTTGGTCAACACAAAGCATGCCACAAGAAGTCATGAACTCCTATCATGGAGCTGATTAAACTCATTGAATGGCAATCTGAACAATGATGTTTTGAATCAGAGTATCTATAAAAGACATGCTGAGTCTCCACACCACTAGCACTAAAGAAAAAAAGCAATGCACCGGGAAGGTAATAGTAAACAGAATTAGCCCCTCTCTCAGGGTACAAGTTAAAAACTCAAAGCAGCCATAATCTAAAAGTGTAATCTAAAAGTGTCAAACCAGAAAAGGCTGACTGCACATGTGGATTCTATTTTTCCAACATCTATAAGTATGATGCAGAGAGGGAATATCAAGTTTGACATTTGCATCAGAAGCACCTTAACCTTCCAAATAACGCAATATTTTATTTTAAGAAATTGGCAATGATTTTAAGATTTCCAGTTATCAATGTAGAAAGTAATCTTGGGAAGTAAAACAAAATGGTATGTGGATGATCTTTACAAGATTACCTTTTGATACAAATTCCCTGACCCTAGAAGACTAGCTTTCTTTTCCCTGAGATCATTAATTTCTAAAGGCTTACGGGCTTTACTTAATTGGTCTGGTTCATCTTGTGGTTGTGAGTGCAAGTAGTTCAGGTGGCAACACGTTCAGAAAAAAATATGGAAGTGCTGTAGTGATGAGTGTTGTTAGCATACCTGAGCATCAAGAGATGTGCAAGTTAGTTCCAAAGTCAATTCCAGAGCTCTGAATTCAAACGGCAAATCATCTGAATCAAATCAGCAGTAATTTTAAGTAACTCATTCGGCATGACTTTATAAACTTCAAGAAAATAGTCGTAATAGAGATTGACAGAAATCAGTTTGAAAAAATGTGAAGTGAGCAAACTTCTTCTGAGAACAAGAAGCTCTAGTATGTTGCAACAACAGAATCAAGCCCAATTAATCAAAGACTTTCAAATTTGAAACTCCATCTATCCACCTACAACAACGCAACCAGATAAAAGATTGAGGCCATTAAAACAACTATTCTAGATTAGAAATATATGTACCCGCTTGTTCTCGATTTGTCTGAAGACGTTTGCAGAATTCTGACATGTACCGGACAACACATCCATCCAGGGAATTCATCAGGATAACCTCATCTGCTGTAATTATACATCTAATTTGTTCAAGACTGACCACAATAGCCTTCTCCCGTCCTAAAATTGTGGAAGGGTAAATAAAAAGGGGGTCCAAAAGGCGCAGATCCCTGGAAGGCAAAGAACAGTGTCTCATTATAGTGACCTTGTCAAGCTCCAAAATCTTTGAGTTCCCATCCTTATCAATCTTTATCCATGAACGATTTCCAAGAGCATGACCTCTCTTCTTTAGGCCTGGAAAGCTAGACCCACGATTGCCATACCCATCTAAATTAAGCCTTCCATTGCAAAGAGAAACAGCAGGTTCGGGAACACCAGCTGGTGGATGTGGGCCTCGGAATCCTTCCATTGGACATTAACTTTCCTTCTTTCGGTGCCAGGTCAGAATTTCGTATAAGGGTGGTGCACCAGTACTCATTAAATGGTTTTAATACGCCAATCTATGACATCTGAGTTAATCATAAAAAATCACCTACAGTTATTACTGTTATCCATGTTCTTCTTGCATTTCTGGGTTAAGCAAATGCCTGAAAAGTAAAACGTCATATGATAGTTATAAACCCTATTAGTTCATCAATTAAAATGCACATCAATTCCCACGAAAGAAATTAACATACTTCCATTAATAATGAATCCAACAAAACTAATCCCTTTGGTAGCTGAAGATAACCAAAAAGAGAAAGATTGAGACTTTGACTGGGCCTAGCACATAAATCTGCAGCTTGACAATTCAGGTGAATGGAGATACACACACAAAATCTAACGACTCGTGAGTGTTTCAGTCAGAAATGGCCAGAATTAACACAAGCCGTCTCTGGCTGACCTAAGAGTTACAAATTCTTTAATCATTCAAATCCAAAACAAAACTCCACACAAACAGGAGCAAGAATCAATTACCCCGCAATTTTTATCTCTAGTCACATCTACTGATTAACATCACTACATCAATTTCTATAAAAACTGAGCATTACACCGATAAAAGGACAAGACCTCATTGCTCCATTAAAAGGTTTTTGATTGATATTAAAAGAAAGCCTGTGAAAACCAAGAAAGAAAAGACAGACGGAGAGAGGAGGAGAAAAAGAATCAGTAGGGTGAAACATAGACACCGAAAGAGAAACGAGAACCTTACCCTTTCAAAGGAAAAGGTAGTTTAAATGCTCAAGCTCCATGGTGGAGACTTGTGAGATATAATGAAGAAGAATGCTCTTTTTCCAGAGAGATCCAGTTGATGAGAGCCGTGTTTTCTTGTAGTGACCATGAAAGGTGGAGTAGCAAAGGTGCCCACGACGTTTTTGCCACTCTCTCACAGCCTGATTTTTTTAGGGTACACACGGCATGACGAAACAACCTTAACCTTTAGTTTTATTAATATCTTTGTAACTAGTTGCTTCGGTCGATATACCTTGTTTTTTTCTCTTAATGAAACATGCGGAAAAGAGAAAAGGAGGGCATCATGATAATATGATAGATGCGGTGAAGAGAAAAGTCAATTGTAATAAACTAAATTAATATAATTTAGAATATCTATTGTTATTGGAAAAAAATATATAGATAAGTTGTGCATTGAACATGATCAATTCAAGCATAATTTGATGGATACGGGATCTTTATAGGTCTTAGTCTAATAAAAAAATACATTAATATTTTTAAAAGATAAGCTATATATATATATGTGTGTGTGTGAAAATATTTAAAAATAAAATAATTATAAACATAAAGTTTGAAAAATTTATGGTATATTTATAATTTATAAATTTGTTATTTATAAATTTGTTATTTTTATGAAAACAAGGGCCTAGAATGTAATTTTATTATTGTAGTATTTTGAGATATATTTTACTTAAAATAATATATATTTTATCAATATAAAATAACAAAGGACACGCGAGGGGTTCCATATAAATTTTCAATAAATTGTTAGGCTTGAACAGAGTGTCTGGGTCTGTTAAAAATAAAAAAAAATAAATTCTAATATATTGTTTGAATCTTAATATATTAGGCTCGAGCATAATAACTTGAAACATTACTAGTGATGAGTAATAAGTTCATATATCTTGATAATGATTGGGTTTAGATATGGTAGCCAAAACCCGTAATAACCTGAACTTATGAGTTCATAAATGTTTTTTTATTTATTAAATTTAGATTTTGTATATATACTCATTAAATTTAGATTTATCATAATATTGTATCTATAAAATCTAAGATATAATATTTTTAAATTTTTTTATGACATGTAAGGTTGAAAATCCTTTTCTTTTATTAATGTATAGAACAAGGAGGGTGTTTATATATTTTAGGTTTAGAATGTGTCAATCAAAATTGATTGAAGTTTATATTGGTTAGTCGGTTATCAAAATTAAAGGAAATTAGTTTTGTATCAAAGTTTTTACATTAAAAAAACATATAATTGATTTACAAATCTAAGTATTAAAATTGTTTTTAAAATTAATATAAACATCAAAATCTTTTTTCTTGAAAATATGAATCTTCAAAAACAAAAAAAAAAAAAAAAAAAAACAGAGTCCAATAATTCACGAAATAATTATTATTTTTTTAAAAGTAAACAAACTTGTTGTCGGGGTCGGACATCTAACATGCAATAAAAGAAGCAGACAAGCAATAAAACAATCTCTTATTGTTTTTTTTTAATTATTATTGTTTCTACAGGGAAAAAGAATCTCTTAACTGAGTCTTCTTTAGGTAGTATTTACAATAAACTTGATTTGCTTAAAGCTAATTAAAGAAAGTAATAAATTCTTAGTCAGCACTTCGTTGTCAAATGCTCCACCCATCCCATTATCACTTAATCCAATAAAAGCTTAAAATTAGATTTAGAGAAGATTAAAAACCCATCAAGGGAATGATAGTGAGTGACATGGATGTTGGTTTTTAAAATATTTTTTTATTTTTAAAAATTATTTTTAATATTAATATATCAAAATAATTAAAAAATATTTTAAAAATTAAATTTAAAAAAAAATTAAAAGGGTGGTTGAATCTCAGGGATCTAAAAGACGTGTCACAATCCCACAGGTCAAGGTCAAATCCAAAGTACCCTTCATTAACAGAAAAGGAAAGAGT